CCGGGAGCGGGGCCTGAGGGGTGTGGGGGAGGCTTTTTAGTGTGAGGGAGTGCCTAGATGAGGGCGACGGTTTTCTGGGACGATAAAAGCATATAAGGAGGGAGTGCTGGTTGGGGTTTGGGGATTCTTAACGCAGGGGAAGAGAGGAGTGGGTAGAGGTTAGGGGCACCGAAAGTGGTGGTTGGAATGGGGTGGATGGGGGAAGGGGTTTTAGTTGTGTGGGGTGGTGAAGGTATGGGGGTGAGCTGGTGGGTCTTTGGGAGGCTTCGGGGTACAGGTTGGCGAGGGGTGGGTGGGTATTTGGGAGCACTCAAGGTGGCTGATGTGTCTGAAAGATTCATTTAGGAGAAGGGCTTGACACTTTCAGAGGGTAGGTAAGGTGTGATTTGGGTTAGGTAGACTACTCTAGTGAGGCAGGGGATTTGATGGGGGAGCTGACTGTTGGGGTTTGAGTTTCATGTGGCATACGTTGTTTGTGGTAATTGACAGGAGTATGTGTGGATAGGAGATTTATGACAGCAAAGGTTTTCTACTTGCTCCCCTTTGAGGATTAGTGTAAAGCAGATATTCACAGAATCATAATTGAAAATACCACTGGACAGTCTCACATATTTCAGTCTCACATATTTCAGTCACTCGTGGCTCGTGGCTTTCTCTATATTCTTTACAGTAGAGAAGTTTTTTTGGCAATCTGTTCCTGAGTTGACTCTTGAGGGTGCGCGGGCTGTGTGTCAGGGATAGTAGATCATATCCATTCTGTTCTAATTTGTGTATAGTTATATGTCAAGAGCCTATGGGCTCTTTATACCACAATTTCTGCTGATAAACTTGAGATAGCATCATGCTTTTTTAACACTTTTTGTTCGCTGCTAAATCTGGAGAGTAGTGCTTCTTGCACTGCAGGTCTGTGATTTCAGTAGTTTGGTCAGCATTGGTGTGAGCGTTGAAGGAGGTTGGTTGAGAAGTAGGGGAGAAATAGATGGATACAGTTACCAAAATCTTAGAAGACTAGTAATTTATTTCCATTTCAGATTTGCCTTTTTATATGTGTGAGAATAGGATGCATTTCACCTAGTGATCCTGCAGAGAAACAGTAACTACCTTCGTTCTGTTAAACCATCTCTCTATCATTTTTTTCTTCTTATTGGTTGACACTAAAACCAACATATTAGCAGCAGCTCTATTAAATGCTTTATGCTTGATTAAGAGACTATGAATCTCTTTCATATCCTAGTAGCCCACTGTGAACTAGTTGTGGCTCTTTCTGAAGCTTACCAACCAGAGGAAAGCTGTGATAGTTACCGTTATGTATCAAGTTATTATGCTTCTCAAAAAAAACTTTAAACAGACTGCTTCAGGAGCCTCCTTGAGTGTAGTAACATTCACTTATGTTTTCTGAGAGATCAGAGCTTGACCAAGTAGTTGCGTGTTGTTGGGTTTGAAATTGGTCTGTGTGTCTCCTCTGGAAAGAAGGGAAACGTGACTCTGAACGAGGAGAGAAAACGAATGCTTGAGAGACTTACTGGTAACAAGACAGTCCCTATAGGTATTTTCCCATTCTTACAAAGAACGCCTTTATTTTTGATGATTGCAGAAAATAATTGCTTACATAAATAACAATATTTTAAAAATCTTCCCCATTAACTATATTAGCATTTGCTTTCAGAGCCTGTTGAATAGATACTTTTTTTAAGTACAGAAAGAAAAGTAACAGTTTGTAGAGCATTTGGAAAACCATGATGCTTGTGAATGGGATCTAATCTTCTTATATGGAGGAGCTTGCATAACAGTGCAGTAAAGCGTAAGAGGTCTGATTAAGACTATTTTAATAATCCCTACATAGTCATTGCAGTTAGCTGCTACTTAGGGAGACAGGGACAGAGGAACTGCATTTCAGATAACTTAAGTTAGATGCCTACTGTGGGAATACCCTGAAGTATCTTTGTGTAAAGACTGTTAAAAGTATTCCGTTTATGCTAGTCCTATGCTAAACAGTAACAGAGGTGTTTTTAGATGTACAGGTGCTTCAAACAGTGAAGAAAAAATCTGTGTTTACTTCAGTCATAAATTATAACTTATTCATCTGAAGCAATCCCTTAAAACATTTCTGAAGGTTTTGTCTACTCTGTGCTGGTAAAGTAGTGGTTCTGACAAGATATTATTAGTTCTGCATACTGGAAGATTTGGTATGTACTTAACTGAAGAGCACAACCACATAGTCAAAGTTCGAGATGTGAGTGCAAAGACCTGCCAGGTAAAGTCATTTGCAGATAGTTTGGGTAAATAATCATGTGCAAACAGAAACAGGCCAGAGGAGAAAAGGGCAGGTCAAGTTCGAATAATAGGATCAGAGAGTTACTTGGTTATATGCACATCTTGATCAGCCCGTGATAGTATGCGTTCACTTACAGGTGACATGGCAAAATTGCCTTCCAAGTAATTAGATGTTTGAGGGAGGTGGCGTAAATAACTGGTTTTTTGCCGCGGGGCGCGGAACACCTTCCAAAGTGTAAGTAACAAGAGGCCACGGTGAAAAGGGAAGAAAACTTAAGTGAGGTGCAATGCCTGAGCAGAAGGGCTGGGGGAATGTGGAAAAGCGGAAGGAAAAGAGTTAGAGGGTTAGATGAGTCTGAGGGATGGGTGGCTGGTGGCAAGATGTGAGTTACACAGAAGACTTAGGTGGGCCAGTTGCATGAATTTACTCCTTTCAGGTTTTGCCCTCTCTTACGGGGTGATGTTGACTCTCATTTCTTTCAACCAAATCAGTGCTACGCTTCAAATAAAACCCTGAATTAGTGGGAAAACTTACCTTTTTTTTTTTTACCCTTCCGGTAGAAGTCTTAAAGATAGCATTCCTGTATCTGAGAGCAACACGCACCTTTTCTGCTTTGTTGGGGAGCAGGGTGTTAACTCTGCAAACATTCCTTTAGACTGTGTAAAAAGGGAGCTCTCAAGAAGCAGCGAGCAGGTTTCCAGGTGTTTTGCCCAGAGTTTGTGCTTACCTGTTCTCTGCTCTCTAATAAGATTTGAGTAACTGCTTCAGCCTTTCTCTTCAGGTTGTTAATGGAAACTTTCTTTTCTACACAGTTACTTATTTTCTCAAAGCTCAAAGCAACTTAAGGTTTTAGTGTCTGTCCCGCTTGAACTTACAACTTGCTTATATGAGCCTCATTTCCTTAGGCAACAAAGCTGAGACTTCATGGGCAGGTGGATTTAAAAAAATCAAGCCTTTTCGTTAAGTTTGGCAACGCGTAAGAGTACATTACAGGAATTGTACCCTCCTTGGAAGGAACGTGGGCTCATTTTTCCCGTGAAGTCCTGACATCTGATTTGGGAGCCTGACAGTGGCCAGTACCAGCTCTTTCACAGGAGGATGTGCAGCGTTCCTAGAAGGGGCAGCTCTGTGAGAGGCTGCGCTGATATTTATTGAAAGGCTTACGCCTTGCATCGTGAAGATTTGTATGCCTTAGAAAGTTGTAAACCTTTCTGCAAGCGGTTGTTTAACAGTAGGTGGCGTTATCCTTAACGATGGCTGTTTTTCCCCCTAAAATCTTGCTGTTATTCACATACTTAGTCCGTGAAATTATTCAATTCGTTATGTTTTAGAAAATATCTTGGATTTCTGTTTGTTGCCTTTCCATTTTTATTGTTCCTTTCCTGGCTTTTTCTGAAAAGTAAATGAGAGTGCTCAGTATATTGCTTCCATAGTGCTTATCAGATTGGATTCTTCTGAACTGAACTTTATCAGCGTTAGCAACCGTTGACCGTAAAACTGTGCTGCTCTGAGGAACTGTGCTTAGAAGCTGACTATGTCAAAGCTAATACTTTGGAGTTGGCAACTTCTTTTTTTGTTTCCGTTTCACTTTTTTTCGCGAGTTCAAGCAGCTTTCTGCGCTGTTTTCTTTCATTGATACTGTCGCAGCATATTGAAGATTGATGCGATGTTTCAAGTTGATATGTAATTATCTTGATTATTGTTGAAATTAATTGTGATGTGCGGTGAGATGTAGTTTGTGAGCTTAGTTTAATTTTACACCTCAGCTGGCTATCGGAGAAAGAAAATTATTAGAGGGACAGTGAAAGAAACATTAAAATGGAGATTAAAGAAAACTTAACTGCTAAAGGCTCATCATAACCCTTTCCGTAGTTTAAATTTGCTTTTCTAAGGAAACAAGTTATGTGCAGTTATGCTTTCTGTCATTTTTCCTGACAATTGTTAGTTAGTTTTTTTTTTTTTTTTTTGTAACTTATTTACAAATTTCAGCCACCTTTGGTAAAATACTAAGTTCCTGCAGGTTATGTGGAAGTGATTCACGTGGGGAAGAAATGAGACCCTCTTAATGGCCCTTGCTGTGAGAGCTCACCCGTTATTATACTTTAGAGAAGCTATACAGGAAAGAGACCTTATGTGTGCTTGAACAGAAAAGGCTTGTTTGGCTCTCTTACCTGCCGAAGACAGCAGAAACACTGTTGATGAGGAAGAAACATTGAGCATTTTAAAGAAACCTTGAGCCTTGGAATTGATTGTTTGATACAGTGCTGCTTACAGCAGTGATTTGCTGCATCGAAAGCTTGACGACTTAGTGTCTCTTTTGGTCTAATTCTTTCTTTCTTTAATTTGCCTGAAACCGTGTAAATGACTGTAAGTTGTTTGTGATAGTCCCTGAAAGTCTGCTGATTTAGAGCTCTTCTTTTACAGGAAGCGAGAATAAATTTAAAAAGAGTGATGGGGTGCATTAGAAATATTTTGCATATATCATCGTAGTAGGTGATCTGAGCATTTTGAATATGTGTAGGAATTGATTTATGAGACAAAAAGATGAGATTTTTTTTGTTTATCTTTTCCTTGAGGCAGAATACTTTCTAGGATATGTTTACCTGCTGAATGGGAAATATAGGTGCATATATATGTATATATATATATATATCTATATATATGTAGGCCATTAGAGAGTTCTCTAAAACGCTGTGTACGATTATCTTTCAGAGATGATGTGTGCTGATATATTAATCTTGTAACATCTTGTGCTGAATATTGTGGTATGTCTGAAGAACAGATCTCCTGTGTGTTCTGAATGTACCGGATAAATCCTGATGATAAGTTTTCATGGAAGGTTAAGTGACCTGCTAAGGAGTAAGAAGTCATTAGAGGACAACCTTTATTCTGTACTTATTCTTCTTTTATTCTGTAAAAAGACCCTGATACACTCTAGACGAAAAGTCATTTTTATATTTGTGTGTTATGCTAGAAAACCTGGTCTATCTGCAACACTAAGGGAACTGGAGAGCCAGTGAAGCTGCAGCGTGTCAGTGGGAGTTAGCCAGTTTCCATGAATACCTTTAAGAACTTTCCTCAGCCTTTCGGACACTTGAGGTAAAGCACAGGGAGGGGAAAATACCGATTTCTTTTCAGACAGATAGTTTTTCAGCCTGACTTTTTTTGTCTGAGAGGGGCAAAAAATAGACAGCGTTCTGATAGTTAAGAACTGCCTTTCCGTGGTGGTGATTGAGGTATTGTTTAGTGGCAGTGGTGGATAAAGTGTTACCTTGCCATATTACTAGTTTGCATAGCAGCTTGTAAGTAACTGAGATTAATGTACCATTCACCTAATTTGTTATTTATTTTCAGGTAGTCCACATGACTACTCCAGTGGAGAATGTCCATGATCATCTTTGCCTGCGTGGTGCGGGTGAGGGATGGGCTTCCCCTCTCAGCCTCCACAGATTTTCATTTCAATCAGGACTTTCTAGAATGCAGAAAGAGATTAAAGACATTATCATCGGTTCTGGCACAGTATCCGAGTCGAGGCACAGCAAAAGGACGTGACCTTAGCATACAGTAAGTCCCTGCTTTGTCTATTTGCTTGTTTACCTTAATTTTGAAAATTAAGATAATTTTCAAATTACCTTTCAAAATTAAGGTTGTCCTGGGGATTAATTGAACTGTAAGGATTAGGTATCTTCCGTAATGCCTAACTCCATTATGCATGCCATCGTGCATGTCTAGATTTTTAAACTCCTAGCAGTATTTCGAAATCTTGAGTCTTAGCACCACAGCCACACAGCTCCTACTTAGTTCAGTAAGCATATGCTAAGAACTGCTTATTTTAGTTGTCGCTATTTTTTGGAGCTAATGCAGTCTGCTCGATGGGGAGTACTTTTTCCAGTTAGCAGTTGGAGTGGCTTGGACTTCTACAAATAACTTTTAAAAAGGAGTCTAGTGCTGAGGAATTGCTTAAAGTAGTTTAGACTAAAATTGGACCCAAACCCCCTTTCTTCAGTGACAGTCTAATCTTGATGATGCCTCCTCTCATTAGGAGGATTGTTCTTCCTGGCCTGAATGTGCCCAAGCTCCTACAGTTCTGATTGTGGCTTTCTCAGAACTGCCCTGGCTCTCCCCTATATTCCGCTCAGTCCAGTTTCTGAATACCAGCAGGGCTCAAGTCCCTAGAAACTCAGTCCCGAGGAGGTCTAAAGCATACTGACTTTGTGAAGAAAAGTTTAAATTCTGCTCTTATGTATTGGAAAGGGATCTGCTAGTTTTTATTTTGAGAAATTAGGGTTTAATTCAGAAAGGAGAATTTTCATTTACTGTTCAGTGTAGTTTAACTCCAGAGAAGAGTTTTTGCTTGTGACTGCGTTCCTGGTTAGCAAATAAAAGAGAACTTATGGCCATCCTAAGCTAAAACTGTGTAGTATCCCTTTTTAGGGGGAGTGATGGGAAGAAGATGCATGAACTTATACTGAATGAATTGGAAAAAAATAAAGATTAGCATTTTAATTTATTTTCCTTCAGAGTGACTTGTGCCCTTAATGCTAATATGTCCTGCTGCTTTTAATCATCGATAGTCTTTACTCAAGTAGCTATGGATCTGACTGTGAAATGACAAGAGTGCAAACAGATAGGTGGCATAAAGGCTATAAATTTTTGACAACTTGGACAAGATAGTGTTACGCAGCTATGGTGTTGATTCTCAGCCGTGAGCTGGGAACATAAAGAATTTAGGAATGAACCCAGAGTAACTAGGCTGTCATAGGCCTAATCAAAACCGTAAATCCCAAACACATGGTCTGATGAGTCAATAACAATGTGGTACAGATAGAAACTTGAAGTATTTCTGTATGAGAGGGATGAAATATCTAAATAGTAAGAGAGGAAAACATCTAGAAGTGGAGCAATCGTTCAGCTTCAAAACTTAGGTTTTGCACTGAATATTGCAAACAGATGGCTAACCTATAAGGAAAGATTTGTCTTTTCCCAGAGATAATTACAAATTCATAATTACGGTGGGGATTGTTGAAGTCTGTCTGTCTACATTGTAAGTGTTGACATCTGAACTAGGTGCCCGGACTCGCGGTTTGCTTAATGAAGTCTAGAGAGTGATTTTACTCCTCTCAAACTAGACACCTGCATTTGGTCAGATGAATCCCCCAGTGAGTTCCCTAGAAGGTTTTGGAGCATCTGTAAATGGGAACTTATGCATAAATATGGCTTCAGTGTTAGAGGAACTTTGTCCTGGAGTAGAATTTTTTTAATGCTAATCTCCGATAAAAAATGATCTTAGTTTGTAACAGATGATTTAGCATTAGTAGTGTCCAAATATCTTGGTTTGTGTAAGGTAACAAAGATCTTTTACTATTAATGTGAAGTCATATTGAAGAGGAGCAATGAGTACAGCTGCAGGGTTTCTGTGAAAAAGATTGCTTTTTTTTTTTACTTTTGTTTGCAGACAGCCCCCTTTCCCCTTAATCTTCTTGCCTGTGATGTTTTCTGGTCATTTTTTTCCTTATTAGCATGATTTAAAACCGATCTGGGAAAATAATAGCCAGCATTTTTACTCAGGTAGCAATTGAGTGAAACCTGTGTTGTGATCTTTAATATGCTAAGGCCTGTTGAATGAGTTAAGAGTGAGTGATAGATCTACAGAGGCTGCAGAAGTATTACAGTGGTGCAAAGAAGATATATTTTTTTTCTACTCTGCTCTGTCAGTCGGAGCAGTCGCTACATTTGTTTTGAGAGCATAGTTTAATTGCCATGCTCAGCATGACCTGTTTACCTTTCTGTATTGATAATTATATGTATGTATTTTTTTCAGTTTTCTTTCTTCTGGGGATATTGCCTGCATGGCAATCTGTTCCAGCAGCTACTCAGCCATCATGGCATTTTGCTTCCTGGAAGAGCTTCAGTGGAAATTTGCTGCTTCCTATGATACAGCAAGCATCAATTTAGCTTCCAGACCATATGCTTTTCTTGAATTTGGTTCGTAGCTTTTTTCTCTAATAGTAAGAATTCTCTGTCTGTTGCTTTTATGATCTTAAAACATGTCACTTGGCTAAAGCCCAATCGTAAAAATGAATCTGTGTGTGTGCCTGTGCACGTGTGTGTAGGAGGAGGGGGAGATTTTGTAACTTTATTAAACTGTTAGATTATTATTCTTGAAGTTCCTGAAAGCCCCCGTAGTAGATGAGCAAAATTTTATGTTGATTAATAAACAAGCAGAGAGGAGTAAGGCAATCCATGTCTCAAACACTATGTAATTTAATTTAAAAAAATCTTGCAGGTAGAGACAGATGGGTACAGGAAAAAAGGGAGACAAAACAGATTATTATAGACAACTTCATTTCTGGCATGACTTAGACTCATATAATACTACATAATCGTGCCTGATGTTTCTTTTTCTTACCTGATATAAATGGCTTTCTTGCAACTGGCAGTGAGAAACTCTCTTCTGGGAAAGGACAAGATACTGCAGTGGGTTAGCACTCGTCTGTCCAGATTTTAGTAACAGAGTTAAGCTCCTGAGTAAAAGACTGAGAAATCCACAGGGAAAGTATATTATACAGTCATCTCGTATTTTGAATGAATTGTCCGCAGGCCGCATTCTAGATGTCACGTAATTTTATGCCGAAATCCAAATTATTCCTTTTGCAACTTGACGGGGGATTTCTAGCCTCTTTCACTCTTTTAATATCATAATGCTCCTTTCTAAGAGAAGAAAATAAAAAATCTTACTTTTTTATTTTTAATATCACAATGTGTTTTGTTAACTGAATCTACCACATGTTGCTGCATGATCTTCATGTGTCTGTCTGGATCTGAGATGCACTTATGCATAAGATCTTGGCCTTCTGCCTGAGAGTTATGGGTTATTACAGTAGGCTGACTTAAGGTAGAATACAGAATTTTTCACTGATGAATGCTTATGATGCTGTGTATTCTAGCACGACCTCAGGTCCTCCTGTGCGTTCTCTAAACTTGCACTTTAGGCTCTTAACATGCATTTGATATCCAGCAGTAGCTGTGGTCAACCTGTCAAGTCACCTAGCATAACAATATCTTAGGGATGCAAATTTTATTTGCAGGATAGCTCTGCAAAATTAATGTTTCTATGTTTTTTTTGCCTAAGTATTTGAAGTAATAAGCTTGAATTTGCCCATGCCTTTGCACAATAAAATAGGAAGCAACAGTATCCATGGTGAGGTACTCCAACTCTGTGGGTGATTCTTACTCAGACGGATTCACTGCTTGGTCTCAGTGCTGTGGTAACTTCTGTCAGACCATTAGCCAAATTTGTAGAAAGGAATTTATCTATTCAAATTTAAGCGTAGGAGGCTTAGCAGGGTGATCTGTATGTAAATCTGTGGCGTGCAGGTTGGTGGAATCGTTGCCTCTGCCAGTCAGATTATATGACTCAAATATGGGTTGAGTTAGCTGTGTGCTGGAAAAAGCCCGAACCCTTGCTAATGTTAAAACATAGTATGGCATTGCATCGTTCTGGCTTCGTGGTAGTTCATGATCTGAGTTCAAAATGTGTTTGTCATGTCTAGCTTGCAATATGAAAACCCCTTTTCAGTCCACCGGCAGGCAGGATGTAGAGATGAGGTTATTTAGAGCATCCAGAAGGGAGGAGGTGTGATACAAAACACCTAAGAAAGGGACTTTTGTTCCCTAATTAGCAATGAAATTTTATATCTGAATGAAATGAGAAAAGAAATGAAGAAAGAAATAATAATAAAAAGAACTCACAAAGAATGTCAGGATTTGATTCTTTACTTACCTGAAGCACTCGACTTCTGTACAGCTAATTCTTTTTGTGTGTGTGTGTGTATATACACACACATATATATGTATATATAAAATAATGTTTCAGATAACGTTATTCAGAAAGTGAAGTGCCATTTTAACTGTGCAAGTGGCTCTCAAATGAAGGCCAACTGGGAGAAGATTCAAGAGGAGCTGAAGTTCTGGCCCCCCGTGCAGCTGAAACTGGAGGATACAGAGCTGATGAATGGGCTGACTAACGGTGGGCCTGCAGAAGCTCATGTGGAGGTTGGTAAGTTACTACTACGCAAAGGTGACAGTGCAGACATCCTGAACTCCTAGTTCGTGAAGGACAGTAAAGCATGTAGCGGTAGTGGTTCCTTTTATACTGAGAAGTCTACGTTATACATATAAAACGTGTTAGAAAAGACTTTCCATCATAGTGAAGAGCAAGTTGGCTCTTATGTCGAACAAAACTTAACAAGCTCCACTAGTTCATTGTGTTTGCTATGAACTAAGATACAAGAAATGTAATTACAATTTCTGTGAGTTACTTTATCCATGAGGAAGGAAATGATGATAAGAATATGTTTCAGCTGAGAGTGTGAGACTCATTCTTAGACCGTCTGTCTTGAGTTGACCTCCAGTCTACACTTTCTCCTTTTTGCCCCATTCATTGAAATGTAACGTATTAGACTAAAACTCCGGAAGATGATATGCGTATCTATATACAAGTATGTAGAGGCTTGACAAGGGAACTTTCTATAACAAATACTGCCATTTTATCTGCTTTTAAAAGTTCTATCCTCTCAATTATTATAAAATTGGTATCTTATTTATATTTCACTTGCATAGTCAATATGCTGTTTACTTCGTTTACAAAATAAAATGCTTTAAATTCTATTAGCATGGCAGTTTAATGCAGCTAGGATACCACGAGCTTGTATTTCCTTTTTTTTTTTTTTCCCCCCCCCTTTGGTGGCTTATGAAACACTAATAAAATTAAGTTCCAGTTGCTCAGTCTTACTGTTTCTGATGGGTGAGCTGGAATCTAATTTGACATAGATATTTTAGATGAAAATCTGCAGGGGCGGTGGCGAGGGGAGAGAAAAGATAGAAAGGACAACATCTTAATGACAAATCAGATCTGTGAGGTCTTCCTCAGACCCCTTCCTGAAGGTTAAATATTTTCATAACGTGGCAAGGCTTAGAAATTCTTCACACTAGTGCAAACAATTTAAGTGCCAAGTAAACATTTGCGAGCTACTCTGTGCTCAGTGAGGAGAAATACATTTTCAGTTTCCCCGTATTCTTAATTGCTTTCTTCTATTTTCCATCTGGCTGTGTGTCTCTGGCTGTCCTCAGTGATCCAACCCAAATACTCTCACAGATTGTTCTGTCTTTATTTTAAGAATCATGTTTTTAATCATCTCTTTAGGAGTCAGCTTTCCTGGCTTGTGTCTCTTTCCTCTCATCATTACCTAGCAGCTGAATCCCACTTTGCTGCTCTAAGTTTAGCCACGTAGACAGTGTTTGTTTCCTTATTAATGTTATTTATATTATGGCTGTGCTATACAGGAGACTTCTTGAGTATACAGCAAAGTGTTCTGGTTTTAAGAGAGTAGAATGTAATTGGGTCTGCATCGTATAGTGAAGATAAATTCCTGGCTTGATCAAAACATCAGTCTCCTTGCACGGTTGTGGTTGGTTCCTGTTCTCCTTTCAGTTGTATGGTCACGTCCCCTGGCTCTTTTTTGTTGTAGCGTGCAAGGAGTCCGAAAAATTGGTTTTATCCTTGTTAGAATATATAGGAACACAAGGTTTATTTTTTTTCATTCTTTCCTCCTTTTCTTCCTTCCTTAACTAAACTCAGCCCAATTCTTGCCAGAAAGATGCTGTAACATCGTATCCTTGGTCAGCATCCACAGGACCTCAGCTTTTGCTTGCAGACTTGATGTGAGAAGAGCTGATAAAGCTCTGAAGGAAAGTGCAGTCATTTATAATAAGGCATGTGAAGTGTAAGTAGCTTTTTTTGTGAACAGGGAGAGTTTTCATATCAGAACTAACTCTATGAAGTGGAAGAACAACTTGTACTATTTGTCTAGCAAGTGTGCTACTAAATTATGCAGCATTGTGCTCCCCTTGATGAATGCTTTTAGTCTTTTGTAGGCGCAGAGGGAGTACTTCTCACGGTCCTCCTTAAAGTATTTTTAAAAGATGTAATAATCTCACAGCTTTTTTTGTGTGCTTGTATTTTATTTTAAAATGTTTGCGTCTGATTTCCTTTTTTACTACTGGTGCTATCTTTATCTGGAGCTTTGAGTAAGTGACTCGTTGTCAAGTGCTATGCGCTGAAGAGAGTGAGCGGAGCCCGGTACAGGCATTAATGTCAGTCTCCAGGTAAACAGCCAAAGGGCTCTGCTCAGAAAAAAACTATTATAGGTGGAAGTTTTGGTGTCCTCATTGTTTGAGGGTGTTCTTGTGGAATTGCTCTATGCTTGTTTAAACCTGCAGATGCTTTTTTCCAGGGTGTTAGGTAAACTACAGTTCCAAAAATATCTTGTGCATAGTTTTTTGCACTCTCAAGAGCCTGACTTTTCTACTTGTAACAGTCATATCAGTTTGAATCCCAGATGCCATTTAATTGTGCCAGTGCCAAATTGCTCTCTACTGGAGTAGTTTGTTTGTTTATTTAGTGTAATAGGCTATTCTAGTGAATACTTCTTTTTATAAAAACACGATCAAAATCACGCAAGAGGCTGTCATAACTTTGCTCTAGTAGTACCCATTTATTACTTGATCTGTAAAATTTCAGTTTGTGGGTTAAACTTCAGAAGGGTATAGCAGAAATAAAGCTCCACAGCAAACAATTTGAAGGTAAGTTTTCACAGATTGTTTATCCTGAGCAACTAGATATTGTAATCTCATGCGCCTCTGTGACCGTAATTCTATACAATTTTTGCCCAGCAAATACGAATAATTTTCCATGCTGTGGTCTTCAATCTGCAGAAGCAATATCTTGCGACTTGCGTTATTCCCCACTGGGTGCTGGAAAGTGTTTGTGAGCATAGTTTGCATGATCCTGTGTAATGAATGACACTTGGCGCTTGACAGCTCCTCTTTGTTTAGAAGAGAAGCTGGCTGCCTCTGAAGTAAATCTTAGCAACTCAGGAGGAAAGAGGAAAAAAACGGTAGTCCTCGTCAGGAAATTTCCATGAGAGAGAGATACATAACTGTTGCAATAATATTTAGCTGGTCGAAAATAATAGTAAGCCGGATACTCTGATCAGCGTGAGAACGAACATGCTTGTACAGCTTCTGTTCAATGAGCTGCTGAGGCTTTGAGTTTCACTGCATAGACAGAAAACAAAGTTGCCTTTAAATGGCTGGGATACTTGCATCTTTTATTTACATGGAAATGTGTTTAACAATAATATACACTAATACTACATAATGTGACATATTGAGATTAATAGATTTCCTGTTGCAGCAGCCTTGGAGACGAAAGCAGGAGCAGTGAATGCATGCCAGACAAATTAATTACATAGACATTTATAAAAGATGATTTAAATCTCTACGTTAATTTGGCACCAAACCTTTTTTACATCCACGTATCAAGCTAATCTCTGCTGAAGGAGAAGACAGAAGTGTTTTTCCTTTTTAAACCGTACAGTACTGCAATATTTAAGCTGTTGGAGTGTTTCACTTGTCACTGAAATGAAGCCAGAGAGGAACTCTACTGAGTTGCGTGGTTTAGGTGGAGTCGTCAGCAGTTGGCTTGATCTGGACAGGAGCCAGAAGATCCTGACGGTTGGAGAGACTTCTTAAGGGCTCCTGCACTTCATTCTCTTCTGTGTTTTATGAATATTGACACAGAAGAGAATTGGGATTTGGTATCTGTACTGCGAATAACCTTTCTTACTGTTATGGGGATAGTGTTCTACTTGCGGTGATCCAAGGGCAGAGCACGGCAAGATTTGTACGTGCAGGTAGTATCTATTGCTAGACTAACTAGTTCAATTAGGGGAAAAATAGGCAAACTTTTGGACAAGCAAAAATTCTGAATTACAAGTGGGAAATTCCAAAGTTAAATACAAATTGTTAAAAGTTACTCTGGCCTAGATTAGATCATCCTGAAGAAAAGAATTTGGTATGCGAATGTTGGAGTTTAATATTAGTAGTGTAGGAGATGGGAAGGAGAAAGAAGTAGTTCACTGCCTCTGGAACAGGGGAAGGTTGGGAGAAAAGGGATGAAAGGAATTATAGTGCACTGTGAAACACATCTCAGAGGCCAAGAGCTGTAGCACCCAGTTTAATTTCCAGACCCCAGTTTTGATCATATTTGGTCGATCTCCCTTGAAAATTGGACCTGAGGGGCCAGAGGTAGAGTAGCAGTTCTGTGATGGACGTTTCCCCTCTGAGACTGGGCAGTATCGTCTTTACAACTACCACGATACTGTAGCAGCAAAGCCATCAAAGCCCTTGGCACCTGCAGTTGTATATTAAGTTCTGGCAACCGCTTGATTAGCGCATCAAATGTCATGTGGAAACTATGCAGGTAAAGCTAATTGCTGTATGTCAAAATGAACCCTCAAACGGTCAGTGAGGACGAATGGACAACTGCCAGTCAAGGAAGAGAAGAGGTGCTCTCTTGCTCTTTTGGCTGTCAGAAATCAAAACTTTCCCAGACCTTTCAATACTTGGAGCCTCTTAACTTGTCTACTGACCAGCGAAGTGTGTTCAATATGAAAATCTGCTGTAAGTACAGAGCAGAAAAAAGTCTACGTGCAGCAGAAAATAAGACATTTAGGCCAAATAGCTCAAGAACAAGTTCTGTTACTTAATCTGGTTTAAAAACTACTCCAGAGCTGTTGCTGATTCCTAGATCTCTGAAGTACTGAACAGTGTAATGCAGCAATAATGGTGTTCCTATTCATAATCGGTTGTCTTTGGAGCAAGGCATGGAAGGTTTTGAAAATGTATAAAACCTGCTTAAGCTGATTTGAGTTGCTTTATGTAAAAGATTCAAAGTAATAGTACTAACTTTCACTAGTGTCTTTTTTTGTTGTTAAGTCCCCACTTACAGAATGCAACGTGTGACTCCCCTGGGGATTCTGTCTCTTGTTCTGAACATCATGTGTGGAGCTTTGAATCTCATCCGAGGAGTTCACCTAGCAGAGTATTCATTTCAGGTAACCCTGACTGAGTTGAGACCAGTAAAGGAAGGAGTTATTTGGTTAACCACATTATGAGTAGCTAGTTGACTTCGTAGCTTGCTGGGCTGCACGTATTTCCACAGGAATTGTGCTTGTCCAGGGAACTCACAATTGTGACTGCTCACCTGCTAGATCCTGTGTTTTGTTATATGGGAGCACCTTGCATTTTCTTCTTCTGTGGTGTAATTGAAATTTGGACAAAAATTCCAGTCTTGCCAGGTTGGCTTTTTTTTTTTTTTTTTAAATTCTTATATTTTATTCTATATTTTCTTGTGTGTGTTTTTTTTAAACAAATGTAAAACTAAACAGTTTTAAAACAGGGGAAAAAAGTGTACAGTGGTACAGTTTTCTTTGGCAGTAACTGTCACGTAAGCCTCTGTTCATGGTATCTTGTTCGGTGATATCAATCTTGCTGCTGTGTGACACTGTTATAGTCAATCATCATAAGCCAGGATGAGAGGTGCTTTATGAAATATAGTATTCTAAAATATCAAACGGCACTTAATAAAACTGTAGCTGATGCAGTGTCTCGTTTGTCACTCATTTCTATCCAAACAGGAAGACCATGAAGGACTTGGAAACGTGATAGCTTTTTTTCTACCTTTTCTAGCCTGTGTTTTTCAGGTATGTTACCTTTAAACAATACACTTTCACATTTTTAATATTATAATATATTATTCTGTTTCTGATATTATTTTGCTTTTACAGATTTTTCCTACTGTTCCTATAGTGCTCTGACAGATGAAACGAGAAATCAACTTACCTTAATTTTATTAAACTCGTTCACACTAATATATAACTTGCATATTCAGTATAAGTTATTTTACCACTTGCCTCTGCCTTGCATTTTGTGAGTCAGAAATTTTCCATCGATTTGGTCTCCGTACAGAACTCTTCTGTGCGAGGTATTATTCCTACTAATTTATTAGCTCACAAAACTGAGGACGTGATTGAATGCAACCTGGAGACGCACGTGTTTGGGTTCTAAGATGGTTTGGCCCGATGTCCAGGCTGTGTCCTTAACTGTGTTTTCGGTGCCTTATTTTTACATGTCTGTCAGTCTTTTTGGTATTATTTTAAATTAAACGATTTTTGAGGAAGAAGTGAGGGGAAGTGAGTCCACCCTTAAGAGCTTTGCAAGAGTGCAAATGGTCTTTTGCTCAAGATAGTGAAAGCAGCCACCCTCATGCCTAGCATTCCTTTTGCTTCCTGGGTTTTGATTGCTTTTCTGATTCGCGTTTACCCTCAATTCATGGGCGAATGGTCGTGTCTAAACAAATCGGGGTACACATGAACGCAAAACAAATTATGGGCAGTATTACATTGTACTTGATTGTGTTTAAATATTTACTAATTTGGATTTTGGGTTGATGGAGGAGGGACTGAAAACTGATGGAACGTTATGTTTCAATGTGTTATTATTTTATGTCTATAAGAGTTATTTTAAAATAATACCTCCTTTAGTTAAAACCTTTTAGAATAAATATTATTACTAGGTAGCTTTAACAGGAGCCCTCTTCACTAGCATAGAGATGCTTAAAATACTATCTGCTTTAAAAACTTTGCAGGTTGTTACCAGCTCAGGCTCTCTTGAAATGAGTAGTGAGCTTCTTTGGGCATCGTGCTAAATTTCTTTTAGAGAAAGCCACGTAATTTTTATATGTAAGTGTAACGCTACGTACAAAATCATTTTCAGTTAGGCAAAGGAACAGTGTGGTTTTCAGCGTTGTACAAAGGTGATTCCACAGAGGTATTAGTGAAGCGGCACAAATATCGAAAGGGCGCAGTCTGACCCTTGGCAAATTGTAGTTGCAAGCTTTTTACTGTGCTTCCTTACTGTAACATGTCGAATGGATTTGAGCGCGATAAATAAGTGTTAGCCCAAAGGTGACTTGTTTCCCAGAGTAGATAGATTTTCTTCCTAGTAGTGGCAATCCTAGTGATGGGCTTTTGTAGCATAACCATCTGAGAGACTAAGCAAATACAGAATAGCAGCGTTATTCAAAATTACTTCTAAATCTTAAGACAAATACAGTTCATGACTTCTTTAGGGTTTTTTTTTATGGATCATTTTCGCTGACCTCTTTGTGTAGTGGTATTTGAATGAGACGAATATTACTTGCTCTGCAGGCGGATAGTTCCTGGAATGTTCTTCAAGTGCCTAAAACAGAGGTCCGTAACCTTTAGCTTGAGGGCAATATGCTGCTTGCAGAATCTTCTACTTCTAGTTTGTGGTCACAGCTGCTCTAGTTTGGCTACTAGCTGACAAAGAGGAAGTAATACAATGCCTGCAGTGTATTAGTTGCTTAGTACTGTTGCCTTTGGCCAGCAAGGTTTGGGGAGTTCTATTTGAAGACTTCTGTTTATCTAGGGTTTTAAAACTTGCAAAGAGGCTATTTATTGCATCACATGGTTCCTAGGTTGGCTGGATAGAACTCGATTGGACCTTGCCTTTTTGTATTGATTTTTCTCCTTCCCTTATCCCCTCCCCTTTTTTGGAGGTGGTGGTGGTGGAAAGTAGTCCTAACTCTGCAGGTTCTTGTAACTCATCCTGTGTTGTCTGTTACCTTCTAGTAGCCAGGCTGTCGAGGTTTGTGTTACACAATGCTCTGAGGTAAAGAAAAAAAAAAACAAAACAAAAACAAAAACCCTCAAATTTCGAAGTTGAACAGTAAAGATTCTTATGCTTTCAGATAACGAAGTCCTAAGCTCGTATTGTTTTGTCAATACCTTTTACTCACCAGTTGTCACCTGTACATGCGATGGGCAATATAGTGTCTTTCAGCCCTCTCTACACTTCAGATCATAGAAGAACTGTAAATCAGAGGTAGTAATCTGGACCTAAAAACTTGATGCAAGTCACTCTTCATGAAGAGCAGCTCTGCCCTGCTTTCTCCAGTTAGTGCCTAAAGCTAGAGAAGCTAAAAAAAAAAAAAAAAAGTATTCTCTCTTTATCCTTTTGATGTGTCGCAGGCGTATTCACAAAATGCTTGTGCATAAATTGCGCTCAAATGTGAAGTGCTTTCTACATTATGATCCCTACATCAGCACTGTTGGAAACTGTGACCTTAAGCGATGAAGTGTGAGCTGTTACTGCCTGAGTTAAAAAAGTAACTCTTCTGCCAGCACTTTGTGAGATACTTGTTTTCTGCTGTGATGCTAGGTGCCCTTCACACATGCTTAGCAAGTGGGGTCCACCTGTTCTTGAATTTAAAAACAAAAAACTAAAAACCCTTTTTGAGCCCCTCGTTAGTAGAAAGTGTGGTCTTTCTACCAAGTCAAGCCTAGATAATGAAGTCCTTTGCTTATCCCAAGAATAAATGCAGTGGAACA